ATAGGGATGGAAAAACAGCATTACCTCTATAACGCCCATGATTGCCTACTGATTACTATAGATACAAAACATGCAATGACATGTACATGGTGATAAACAAACACAGATCACCAGGCTATACAGGCGGAGACACATACCTACATATGGGGCCCATATGGGAAGCCATAAAAATGTGTAGTGCACAAACAAACCCACGTGACAAACCTTGAGCATGGGAAGGAATGGAAGTCAGGTCATTCGGACCACAAAGAGGGAAGTTAAAGTGACGCAGGTACTGAAGACTCACACTTAAGAGTCAGGAAGGCAGCTCTTTACAAATACGGGATGCATGGGAAACCCCTCTGCGTTTCCACAGTATTTATAGTGTTTGCGTGGAAGGTGATCATTTATGTCTTCTGTCTGGTCCTCATTAGTGAACGCGGGCGGGCCTCACGGGCTCCTTGTACCGAGTGCTTCTGATTATCGGATCTCTTGCCTGCATTTCTGGGCAGATAACAGAAATCAGATACCAGCTTTGTTTATTCTCATGCCTGCGATAACAGTGCTGCTTTCAACTTGAAGACTTTGGGCCCTATCATACACACCAGGCGCGACGCAAGTGTTTTTTAGCAAGTTTCAGCCTGACGCAGTTATCATTTTTTACGTCCTGCGCCATGTTGTTTAAATAGCAAATGCATTTGCGCCCATTTGTTCACCCATGGGCTGCTGGTCTGAAACGAGGTGTGTTTGGTCGCATTGTTGGCGCGTTTCTATTTTGAGGCAACAGAAATAGACTGCGCCATTGACCAACTGAAACCTGGTCTAAAGTCAATGGCGCGGTATTTTTTTTTGTTATTTAAAGAGTGCATTAGCAATATGCGCCTATAGGCGGGTCCACATCACGCGTACACTTCGCTAGAGGATCAGTATTTCTGCTTGCAAATTCCGTCATGTAAATAGCGAATCCGCCATGGCGCTAGTGCAACTGGCTTTTAAAGGGAATTGGAGATGAGACTCTGATTGGTTTAACGCACGTACACTACCGTTCAAAAGTTTGGGGTCAGTGAGAATTTTATTTTTATTTTTTGGAGGAAAGAAATCAATACTTTTATCAAGGAATAATTAATTTGATCGAAAGTGACAGTAAAGACATTTATAATGTTACAAAAGATTCTTGCCCTAACCCTATTCATCAAAGAATCCTAAAAAAAAAAAAAAAAACTGTACAACTGACAGACCAACAACTGTTTCAACATTGATAATAATAAATGTTTCTTGAGCATCAAATCCTCATATTATACTGATTTGTGAAGGATCATTTGACACTGAAGACACTGACACTGGTAACGCTGAAAATTCAGCTTTGATCACAGGAATAAATTACACTTTACTATATATTCACACAGAAAACAGCTGATTTACACTGGAATAATATTTAATACTATAACTGATTTTTGTTGTATTTTTAATCAAATAAGCGCAGCCATGGTTAGCAGAAGAGAATTCTTTTAAAAGTATTTAAAATCGTACCGACCCCAAACTTTTGAACGGTAGTGTAAATCCCAAAACACACCCATTACTCATTGAGAGAATAGGGACAACACTTTTAGACCATACGCCGGGTGCGCCGACCATTTCTGCCGTCGTTAAACTAGCAAAAGTCTGACAGAGGGGGTAATCCATCGACCGGAAGTTGAAGCCGGCCTGGTGCCGCCATCTTGTAGCAGAACTTCACTTGCGTTAGCATTTCCATTGACTCCCATTCATTTTGGCGTCACTTTGACAGCGAATAACTTTACATCTGAGGCGTTTAAAGACTCCATTTGTCCATTATTTATTTCTAAAGAAACACGACAATGTATAAAGGGCTCCATTACCTGGTATAAAGGGCTCCATTCTATGTTGCATTATGGCCCCGTAGAAACAGTTTTTGTAAAAATAGGCTAACGATTGCGTCATAACCACTCGACTCTCTGTCGCGCTGTACAGAAATTACCGTACAGACAGGAGGAGAAGCTCGCAGGCAATCGGGGGGACGTCCCGTCAAGAGAGACGCCCCATAGATAATGAGTCCATAAAAGCAACGGAATACTTACTCCTGCTCACTCACGCCAAAGAACTCTTTGCTCAAGTTCCCCGTCTCTGCAAGATTAACGTTGGCAATTTTCACGCACAGCTACTAGAAGAGTAACGTCTGTCAGACAGGTTGCTCACGTCATCAAGCTTAGTTTGAGTCGGTTTGAGTCTGCGCGTCAGGAATGGAAGTGCTCAAAAATCGCTAAAAATTGGCTTCAACTGTCTCAACTGAGTTCCAATGAGATGGCTCTGTCCACTTCTTATACTGTCTATGAGTCTGACAGCTGAGAGCGTGTATTGTGCACAGAACTGAAATGGCCGTTTTTGATTCCCCAAAAAACTAGTATTATCCACAATTACATACTGAGCACTCTCTCCGAGGGTGTTTGAGAGCGGTTTACGGTTACAGTACACTTCACCGCTGAAGAGGCCGGCTTAAACCAGAGTGAATTCGATTGTGCCTGATTTATGCAAGTCAATAACAAGGCCGTCAGACCCAGATCCAGAACCAGCTTTTCATTTTAAATAAAGAAAATAAGAAAATGGTAAGTTTATTGAAGCGTTCCGGTCTTAAAGTCATCATGAAATCAAAATGGATAATTCTTTTTTTTTTTATGGAATATTGCAGTATTTATTATAAATGGTCTATCCATGCACATCATGATTATTTATTTTAAATTCATGTGCCTCGTAATCTTTAATCTATAACTTCCCCTCCTTCTTGCAGCGACATCTCTGCAAGACTTCAACTCTTCCAGCTGGTGACGCCATGCTGTAACTAACAGTATCTACTCAACCAAGCTTGGTCTTTTTAATCATTAAATTCTTGTTAGTAAAGCCTGGTAGAGACACCAACCATTCAAAGCAACATATATTGGTCCACATTAAGAAAACTGAGCCGTCTCTGAGGAGCTCTTGAGTGCCATGCCTGTACCCTTCCCTCATACCCACTCACATCCAATGACTCAATCCAGTTAATATAAGCCCTATATTGAGATCATGTGACCATGCAGTTCCCAGGACAATGCTCACTTGAACAGCTATTAGCCATTTTGGCTGAGAACTCAGACACCTATTTGTGTTTTCATGAAGCGCTCTTGAAATTCAACACACCTCAAGTAAAGTCCATGCATGCTTTTTGACTTGGTCCTTGATTAAAATCTGCTCTGCAGTGCTATTTGATATTCAAATCACTCTCCTCCCACTTTATTTCCACTCTCAACACTCTCTGGAATGATATTACCTCATCTTCGATGAGAATAACAGAGTATCGCTGGACAACTTGCTTTGCAAGTCAATAAAAGCTGCACACATTCCAGAGCAACATTTTTCCAGGTGCACAGATGCATCTGATTTATTGGATGAACGATTCAAAGACTGGACAGTGTACAAATGATGACAGTCTTATGAGGGTGCGTGTCTAGACTGGTTGGGTGCAGCAATGCACAACACTGTCCCGACTCCCGACACTGTGTTGCACGATCACGTTTATGAATTGCAATATCCAGTCATTCATTTGACAATCTCTGCAGAGGTTTTGAACTCTCCACAGAATTTGCCCAGGGATAGTTCAAAGGAAGAATTGCGGTTAAGTTACTGAATGTAAATTCAGCGCCGCAAACGTCATATCATATCTGTTTGCTTAGTAGGTGTGTAATGGTGAACACGGCTTTAGGGATCTTTTTACAATGTATACGAAATTTGCTGCATGTGGTCCAATACAATGTTTGGTCGAAAGTTGTCTTTACTACTTCCTTATATACTTACTCTATATAAGACTTTATCTCATCTCCTCACGTGATTGAAGTGACTCACGTGTGTGTCTGTTATTAGGTGCGTCTGGAAGTGTATACCTCTAAGGCAAACACAATAAAATAAAACCATGTTCACAAGTACATTATTACCAAGATAACAAACACTTCACCATCTGCATATCTTCCTGAAAGAAACTGAAAATATCAGTTGAAGCATGCATTGTTAAATATATGTTTAGTTATTTAAAAGTACTATCCTCAAGAAGGCTGAATTTCTTTGAAAAATACTGTAAAACAATATTATGTAAAATATTATTACAATTTAAAATAGACTAAGTGTTTTCTATAAAATATAACTTATTCCTCTGATGCAAAGATGAATTTTCAGCAATTTTTTTCCTTCAATATTTTTATTTGACAAAGATGCATTAATTAATGTGGCAGTAAAGACTTAAAATGTTACAAAAGATTTATATTTCAAATAATTGCGGCTCTTATGAACTTTCTATTTATCAAAAATGTAAGTTTTCAACATTGATAATAATCAAAAAAATTCTTGAGCAGCATATCATCATATTGAAATGATTTCTGAAGCATCATGTGACACTGAAGACTGGAGTAATGATGCTGAAAATGCAGCTTTGATCGCAGGAATAAATTAAATTTTTACACTATTAAAATAGATTTTTTTTTAATTGTAATAATATTTCATAATATTAATGTTGTTGCTGTATTTCTTTAATCCAATCAACATGTATTTATTGCAAATGTTATTATATTATGATGCATTATAATTAGGCCTATATTTAATTATATAAGTATACTTTTGAAGTATGCATGACCAAAACACATTTAGTATCATCACTAGGCTATATGTGTAAAGCAAAAATAGTGTCACAGGACCATGTGCATTAGTGTCAACTAAAAGGCTCTACTGAACTAATGAACAACTGACCTCTCAAGTGGCCAGTTCTAGTTACCCATAATGATACATATTATATGACCATTCCCTAGCTAGAAAATAACTGTAACATAAAGATCAGAAGGACCAGAAACCGGGCACAGGTTCAAGATGGTGACGCTGGTACCCGTCTAAAGTACTAGAGGAGGAGTGCGCAGTTCACCGAGGGCGGGAGGAACCTGCTGCATTCAGTAGCCCTGAGAGAGAGACGGTTTTAATCCGAAACTGCTTTTGATCCAAACAGAGCAGTGTATGGCAAAAAGTGTCGTGTTTATATCTCGATCTCGACGCGTAGAATGTAGAATAGTCGCGCAGGTGCTTCAGCTGCACATTTTATTGCAGTTCTGGTGACTGCCTGCATTGAATGAGACTTTTAAAGTGAACTGTGCGGATTTTAGAAATATACATCGAATAGAAATTGTGGTGGGCAATGTAGACGCGTTAAAACGTGCAGAATTGACTATAATTTTGACATAAAAGTCAACCATGGAGGTCAGAAAAGCGCTCACGTGTGTTTTGATCAGCGTGTTTCTGTGGGCTGGTGACGCTCAGGACTCGGTACCTGATTCAGGTGAGTCGTTTCAGTCATGTTTTAATTCGGAGCTCAAGTATGAGAGTTCGTATTCTTTAATCCACAGGACGCGGTACACAATTTATTCGAGTCATATGTGCTAATTCTAAACTCGGTGCCTGATTCAGCCGATTCATTTGAGTCAAGCATTTCATTCGGATCAAAACCAGAACGATAAACTATAGCTATTCCGTACGACTCAGTAAGTATGTTAGTGGATTATATTGGTTAAATCAGCTTTCAGTACTTGATTAACGTCTAGTTCAAGACTCTGTAGGTAAATTATTACTGTTCTCAATACGATGAAGCACATTGGTCAATTCAGGAGTCAGTATTTGATTGAAGTGAGTCATGTTTTAGGACAGGTGATTCATCTGATTCAGGAGTCAGGACAGGTGAGTCATGTGGGTTAGTACCTGATCAAGGTGAGACATCACTCAGTATCTGATTCAGAAGAGAATAATCTTTTATTTTGCAACACACAAGAGCAAAAAGAAATGTCATGTTAGTTATTATTGCATTAACTACTGTTAACATAACCTTAAAGTGTTAACTAGTCCCATTCTCCACAACAAACATGCATTGAGTTTGAGTGCTATAATAATCATTACTAATGTAAATCACTGACCACTGCTCAGAGTTAACGTTAACCTTAGATTTCTAGGCAACACTTTATTTTACATTACATGTAGTTAGTAATAACTATAAATTATGCATGATTACATGCAACTAACCCTACAACAAACCTAGTCCTAACCATAACCCTATAGTAAGTAGTTAATTCATCTTACTCAGTACTTAAATGTATAATTACACTGTATAAGGACACCTTAAAATAAAGTGTAACCACATTCTATTCTATTCTATTCTATTCTATTCTATTCTATTCTATTCTATTCTTGGTTAATTCATCAAGATCTCAAAGCCTTTTAAACAATAATGCGACTGAAAGAAGAAATCTGGAGATACTTTTATTTCATTACAGAAGATTACTGTCTGTTAAACATGACTTATGAAGCACCAGAAGACATACAGTACAAACATGTGAGCTATAAGAGAAACGTGTGTAAAAGCATTCTCCTTCACACATCGTATTAGGGGATTCTTTTCTCTCAACACATATGGTCCAAGTTTAAGTGATTCACGCAAAAAAAAAGAAAAAAGTTCTTAAACATTTTATGTTGAATTAAAGCATTTTCTCCCTGGACTCTGGTTATCTTCTTATATTTTGCTGTGTTTAATACAGTTATATTTATTCACAATTTGGATTGACAAAAAAAAATTCTATAATTGATGTCACTGCCTTACATTTTCAGGACTTATAACTGACAGGGAGTATTTGCTGTATGAATAGAACAGAAATAACTTCTTGTCAGCACATCGCTGACATGCACATTGAGTGAGGCGTGGGAATTAAAGGATTCTTCCTGTCAGTCACTAATGTTAGGCTATCGACCGCTTTCCCAGAAAATAGGGGTATTGTGAACACTTTGCTTCTGTTGATGTCTATCATGACATCCCACTGCACTCATGAAACGCATGATGAAAGATAAGCAACAGAGGAATTCATGCATGTACTGTGTCCAACTTGCTGACTCACTATGTGAATGTCACATTGTTCACTATATGAGAGAATAAACTATCGTATTCAAACACAGCTCAATTCGAACAGCTGAACTCAAACATGCCTTTTGCATGCCAATGTCATAACATTTTGGACTTTAATCAGATTTCAAACAGCGTGGGTGTTAGACCCCCGTAGCAGATCTAGGCAGGTGGTGCTGGGGAGGCGGAGAGCACAGAGTTCTGGTGCTTTCACACTAGCACTTTTGGGGCCCTATCTTGCACCCAGCGCAATTGACTTTGTACACCGATGCATGTATCATTCGTATTTTGCACCCGTGCAAAGCGGGCTTTTCCCTCCACAGACGCACGCCGGCAAACTAGGGAATGAATTTGCGCTCCCTGGGCGGTTCAGCGCAAAAAAGGAGGCGTGTTCCGGCGCAAACAATCCCTGGTGCTATTTTGCAGTTCCAGAAAACAATTGCGCCACGCGTTGCGCGTACTACATTCAGATGCTATTTTAAGCCCGCATGCTTGGCCATCATACAGAGTGTGAACAACGCGCATACACTGTAGATGATTCTCTCATCTACACAGATGCATTTTACTTTTTGCAAATTAGGGCTGGGCGGTATGACGGTATATATCGTTACCGCGGTAGAAAATGTCAACCGTAACAGATTTTTTTATTCCGTGTATACCGCGACATGCAAATAAGTGGGCGTGGTTAACTCACGTGCAATGTGCGTGAGACTGAAACACTGCGAATTGTAAAAAGAAACACGGAGAAAGCAGATCAAGAGGATCCACAAAGGAATTACATTTTCTAAAGGGTTGTTGTTGTTGTTAACGTGATATTTTCGGGGGGAAAGGCGCAGCAGTTAACTAGAGCAGTGCAGCACCCAGGCTACAGTTTAGAGGAGTGCACACTGGCAACGGGGGACAACAACAGTTCATATATCAATATCGTAACGAATAGAAATAACCTTAAATAATGTATAGTTATCTGCATCTTTCCGTCTCTTATGTATAGTTTTTAAACACGCAAACAGTTTGCCGCCCGTGGTAATGAACAACCTGCTTGTTAAAGTGAATGTAGCCTATAATCCTGTAGCCTATCTGAGGCAAAATTACTAAATATGCATCGCGAGTTATATATTTCTAACTCCAAACAATTGGCCACCGAACCAGCTGATAAAATCTTCCTTTGATTCGATACGTGATTACAACTTGACACTCAAATTAACCGATCGCATTTACTGATGCAGAAGACGCGCGCGTGCAGACGCACTGAGGGAGCGCGGTGTTCACCGGGCTATGGTCAAATAATGACGCAGTTACAAGGTGTGTATAATTTAAACTAGGCTACTTTGTCAACATTAACAGTAGCTGCTGTTCGGGTTTCAAACTGCTGCTCTCCTTCTAGTCACTTCTGAACTTCTCTTGATTAAAGCGCAGGGTGACGGGTTGCGAGATATCACAAAAAGAGCAAAACAAGCCCCTTAAAAACGCAGTGTAGCCTAAGCAGACATGGCACAAATGTACCGGGGAACACATTTAAACATAACTAGTATTACTAGCTATCCTCCAAAATTAAAAGGAAATAACTAATTTATCATGAATAGAATAGTTCAATATAAAATATTCAGATATCATAAACTGATTGATGAAGTAAAGCATAACATGAGATTGAAAAATTATTCAGAAACACTTTATTTAAAGTTTAATTGCACCTATGAGTTGTATTTAATATCAATCAGTTGGGGGCAGTTCATCTAAAAGTTGATGAGTGTGTTTTGTTTATATCTAGCTATCTAAATAGTTTACCAAATAAATAATTTACCAAATAAGAGAAACAGAAAACAATGTGAAGTACTTTTCATTTCTAAAGTATTTGGGTTTATTTATTATACAAAGCCCTTTTTGTCGATTTTTCGAGAATAACTACATATATAAATAACTATATCGTGAAATATATCGTTACCGTGAAATAAAATTAGTCATACCGTGAAATAGAATTTTGGTCATACCGCCCACCCCTATTGCAAATGATACATTATTATAAGGAAAAATATTAAAACACGAGGGAAATAATTGTTGTGTCCATGACGATGGGAAAAATAGGCATAAAGCTTACACATTTACCCAAATTATTATATCTTTCTTTTACGGCCCTGACGAGAACATCGGTCTCCTCGGCTGTGAACCGATTCTGAAGCACGCCTGGTAAATGCGCCGTTATAATAGTATTGCGCCATGGAACAAGCGCACCTCGTTCATCATGCTCTTAAAGGGAATGTGATATGACGCTCTTATTGGTTTGTTTCCCGATACGCCCAAACCACCCCTATGAATAATGAAGCTACTTCAGACCAACCCCTTTTAGATTTGCGTCGAGCGCAAGAGTCATTTATCCCGCCGGTTAAATAGCAACAGCGTCGAGATCCGCCCACAAAGTTACTTGCGCTTTGCTTGACACTTGCGTTTTAGATCGGTAAAATGGGGCCCTAAGTGTGTTCGTTAGGATGAGTTGATTTTAGGGGTGTAACGATACCCACAAGTCACGATTATATATATCACAATATTGAACTCACGATATGATATTATTGCGATACTCCAAGACATATGGTAAAAGATTAACAAAAAATGCACTGTTAATTAAAATGCAAAATTTGGTATTACATTGAGGGTGGAAAGTAATAGGCTTGGACTTGGTGCTTGTAACCCAACGCACAGGACAATGGTGACACGAGAATAAAAATATTCATGATTCTGAAGCTGAAAATACAGAATTATTTTAGAAGAATATGCTTGAACTCTGTCACTGACCAGATATATTTAAATATAATGTAGGCCACTTTTTACTGGTAACATCAGTCATTTGGCATTATCAGGACCCACAAATATTCCCCCATTGCATTACTATACATTATATTCAACATTATTTGAACAGTTTAATGTAGTACTGACACTAAAACTCTGTAAACTTGAATTTATTCTCACAGTAATTTTCATTTTGGGTGAACTACACACAACACATATTGTCATATCCACGATACACATTGTTGCATTTTTGTATTGTGACACGATATATTGTGACACCCCTACCCTAGTTGAGGTAGTAATGCATACGCGAAACCGATTGACTGTGGAAGTTACATTGAAACAACCAATCAGAACGCGAATGGAGTTTCAAGGCTGAACTACTCAGTTGAATCTGATTGCCACAAAAATTTCCACAAAAATAAAACAATTATTTTGATGCCTGCCTGAACAAAACTATAGACACACCAACAGTGACTCACAGAGAGTAATTTTGGAAGAGCCTTAGAGCATTTTGGCTTTGACTCCAGCCGTTTCTGTATGCCACCGCACCCTGGTTCCAAGCCGTATGGCAACGGTCACTTATTTAGCAGTCACAGGTTCAAGTGACCCGAGAGGCTCGTTTCTCTTAGCAAAGCGGAAGAAAACTATGAGAACTTTTTATGACGAGTTTAGATTTTAGTAGGTTGCATTGGTTCCACTTGTGAAACTGACCTTCTTTATCACAAAAAATGGGCCACAAAGAAATCGATTCGCAAGATTCTCTTATGATTTGATTCAAATGACACCTCCAGATCTTCTCACAGGACTTGGGTTGGCGACTTTGGATTGTCTTGGCGAACGCTTGGCAGCATTCATCTGAACCCTCTCGCCCACTCGCTCTCTTCAGCACACACTCTTCAGGGAATAGCCTCTACATTCCTTCTTTTACTTCATATGGAACAGCCAATTCTCACCTCCCCCTATTTCTCCATGCGTGCCCGTCAGTCCGGTTGCAACATCCAGTAGCAGGGCTGTTCCTTCCCCCATCTGTTTATGTTTATCAAGCTGCTCCAGGTTAGAGGGCTCCTCTGCCAGGAAATTCCTGTAATGGCCAAATCAAATGTTCCATCTCTTTAAATATTGTGAAGCCCCCAGTTCTTCCTTATCCTAATAAATACTACTGTTTTCTCATCCTTATTTTTAGAATCTACCGTTCCAGCCTGCTTCCTTTCGCAAATGACTAATTTCCTCACTCGGTTTCACACTTATCTTCGTTTGGCCGCTCTTTCTCAGAGTTTCTCCTCATTTTATTGTGTTCGCTATAAACATTTAATGAGTTTAAATGTTGTGCATCCAAACTTGTAAAATCTTTTGCCAACATCTGAAGCTGTGCAATTGCGAGTAAAATGTTGTGCTTGTTTGTAGGGCTGTATATGTAACTAAAATAATAATAATACAATATGATTATTATTAACTTTATTGATATTATTAATTATTTCTACTACTACTACAACATCTTACTATTTAAGATATTTTTATTAAGTAAATATTACACTCTAAAAAATGCTGGGTTGTTTCAACCCAACTTTGGGTCAAATATGGACAAACCCAAATGTTGGGTTAAAAATGTAATTAAAAAATTTACAGTTGAAAGTGAAAGTTGAAGTTGAGTTAAAATTAAAAATTACATTTTTAACCCAACATTTGGGTTTGTCCATATTTGACCCAAATTTGGGTTAAAACAACCCAGCATTGTTTAGAGTGTACTAACAAATAAGACACATTACTGTTTTAATGCAATATTCACAGAAATATTTCAAAAACTGATTTTTGTCAACCCACATTTCCTTACAAACCCGTATGACTTTTTCTTCTGTTGTTTAGAAGTTGATGATGATCTTTTCCATAATACAAAAAGCAAATATTGACCATGGCCTGTCAAGCTCCAAAAAGGACAAAAAAATATTATCAATAATAATAATAATATTTTAAAAAGTATTCATATTTGTAATAATTTAATATTAAATATTTATTTATATTTTATATATTAAAATATAATTTCAACTCTATTACAATAATACGAATTTAATGAACACTATGAATTTATTGTTGACATTTTTTATTTGTAAACAAATAAATAAATAAATTTCAATTAATCAAATGAATTGTGCTTCCCTACAAGACTATAACCCATAACCTTAAAGGGATAGTTTAAGTAAAAAATAAACTTCTGTCATCATTTATTCCCCTTGAAAGTCAATTAAAAGCTTAAAGCTTAATCATTCTTTTGTGTTCATTCGTCCAGGTTTGGAACAACATGAGGATGAGTAAATAATTACAGAAAATGCATTTTTGGGTGAACCATCCCTTTAAATATTAAACTTTGGGGCTTGTTCGTGGTAAATTATATCTAAAATCATGTGGCTTGTTGAAGAGAAATGTGCTTTTACTTGTTTTTAACCAACTGGACGATTTACAGTTGGAATAGGCAGAAAAATCCCATGGGCAAATAATATACGACCATAGCAGCTTGACTATACTCACACAAACTCCTTCTCCTCATATGCCTTGAGAAGTCTGGAGTGTTTCAGTGCGGCTTCAGTATGTACTAAATAAACACTCATCACCCCCCCCCCCTCTCTTTTGAGATGTTAAACCATGAATCATTTACTTAAATGTCTACTGTTGTTTTTCACCTACAGTTTTGAACTGCTGCGAGGGCGATGTCCTGTTTCTCCTGGACTCCTCTGGTAGCGTGTCCTCCTACGAGTTCTCCCGTATGGTGGACTTTCTGTCAGAGCTCCTGCTGCCGTTCTCGCTGGGGCCGGATCAGGTGAGGGTGGGACTGCTGCAGGTCGGGACAGAGCCCCATCTGGAGTTCGGCTTTGACGCCCACAGCTCCCAGCAAGGCCTGCAGGCGGCCCTGGAGAGGACTAAACAGCTGAAGGGCGACACCAACACGGTGGATGCTCTTCTGGTGGCTAGGAACCAGGTTTTGAAACAGGGTGTCCCGGGAGGTGCCAGACCGGACCTTCCCAGGGTTCTGGTTTGGCTCACGGATGGAGTGGATCCCGGCGATGTACGGGAACCAATGGCGAGGCTGCGAGAAGAAGGGGTGCCTGTACTGGTGGTTTCCACTGGTCACGGGAACTACCAGGTGCTGAGAGAGGTCGCAAGTCCACCCACAGAGGAGCACCTGTTCTTTGTGGACATTGACGATATCAACATCATCAGCGAAGACTTGAGGAACGCAATTATTGGTGTGTTTCATCTAAATATCTCCAAAACTGCATTAGTCCATGGCAAATACATGCATTCTATCACATACTCACCCTCATTTCATTCCAAATATGACTTTTGTTATTCTGTTGAATACATCGATTCCATATTACAAAAGTAAATATTGACCACACATGGACTGTCAAACTCCAGAAAGGGGAAAAAACTCATTATTAATAATTATTATTATACATTCAATATGTAATATATTTTTGTAATATTAATATAAAAACTATATTACAATAACAAAAATCTAATGAGAACTATGAATTATTGCTGAAAAAATTATTTACTGGAAGAAGAAAAAAATCCATTTGAAAAAAAATTTATCATAAAATTTTCAAACTCAAAAGTGAAATGTTGGGACCCATTACATGCTCATTGTTAAATTGAACATGACATAAAAATGTATACATATTATTCCCATAAAAACTACTGAAATACCATAAAAGTAGTTTCCAGAAAATATTTTGTTGTATGAATATCTGGACATGCAATATATCAAAAGAAAGAAAACCGAAAAAAAAAAAAAATTAGTTTCATACATTAGTTTTTTATCCGTTTGATCAATGGTTCATTCAGTATTGATTTATATGCTGTTTAATGTTTGATGAACGCGTTATTTATACATATGCATCTGCTATCGCTTGTTTCTGCTTCTTCGCCTGTGTTTTGATCAGGAGAGTCAGTACTCTTTCAGAAGACGTGTAATAGCGCTCCCTACGGCATAACAGTGAAAACATGGATTGTGGGAAAATTCTGTCGTCGGCGGGGAAAGAGTTAAAGAGAATTATTCAAATAAAAAACACAAAGTTCTTGACACTTCATGAAACTCTGTAGACCATGATTTAATATTTCACCCAGAGTATGAGAGTGTCTTCTAAATAGGGAGAGTGATCTGATGTGGGTGTGAATATCTCCGTACCTCCGCCCCAGTGTGCCGAAGGAATCTCGAATGCCAGTCAACTCCGTCTCCGACACAAATAGCTTGAGACGGCTCACAGATAAGAAGTGCCCGGAGGAAACGGGGACAGAAACCGGCAGACACTGTAATGAGAGATGAGGGGCTATTTATACAGAAATGATTTTGTCCTTTGCAAAGTCCCCCGGAGCGCTAGACACTGCTATTATTAGTGGGCATTCCTTCGCACATATATAAGGCTTTACATATGTGCAACTTCCAGACACTTACATACTGTAAACAAACGTATTGACTGCACGCTATAACTCAGACCAGGTGGGGTTGTATCCTGTTTAAATTGCCCTAGGCATGGATGCACCATGTTTGATTTGTCTTTGTCTCTGATCGAACGCAGAGATTATCCGGGCCGAGAGGCTGCAGGTGAAGTCAGTCACTGCCACTTCAGCTCAGTTGGAGTGGAGGCCTGTGTTGGCTGGTACTGGCTACTATGATATCCAGTTTGGTCCCATCCGAACAGGGCAGACCGGAGGAAGTGGAGGTCCGGGCACCAGTCCCGGCACTGGTTCGGGTCCGTTTCAGAGGATCACCCGGCCTGGAGACACCAGCTCGGCTCAGCTGATCGGCCTGCGTCCTGACACCACATACACAGTCACACTCACACCGAAGGCCAACCTGGAGTTCCTGAACTCGCTTCACGCCACCTTTACTACACAGACAGGTGCTCAATATGCAGATTCATCACACTTCAAACTCATAAATCCGGTCAATATATATATCTCTATATATATCCAGATCATATTTCATCGCAAGTCCAAAAGAAGAAGAAAAAAAACTATACTTTGTATAATGAAAATTATTTTTTTATGATCATTACTTTTTGGTCGTTGTGTCTTTTATGTTTAATTCATGCTTTTAATAATAATAATTAATTAATTACATATGATCATGAATTATTATTATTATTGCTATTACTAATACTATTAATTACATTTAAATAATTGTGATTATTGTTATTATAACTATTAGCATTAAATACCATTAACTTAACATTTAATATTAATAACAACAACAACAACAATAATAATGACAAATATATAAAAAATAAGAAATTATACTTAGAATACTGAGAATGATTTTTGTGACCATTACTTTTTGGTCGTTGTGTCTTTAATGTTTAATTCATGCTTATAATAATAATAAGAATTAATTTAATATGAACATAAAATATATTATTGTTGTTATTGGTAATATTATCAATAGCATTAATTTGATATAATTAATTAAATATGAATGTTAAATGTATTATTATTATTAATAATAATAATTATGATTATTGTTATTATAATTATTAGCATTATAGACTTTACATTAAATCATATATTAATAATAATAATAATAATAATACATATAAAAAAATAAGAAATTATCCTTACTAAGAATTATTTTTATGGCCAGTACTTTTTTCATTGTGTCTTAAATGTTTAATTAATGCTAATAATGATAATGATAATTGTTATTGTTAAAAAGCATTGATTAAATATGAACATTAAATGTTTTTTTTATTTTTATTATTATTATTATTTTATCATTAATTCGATTTAATTAATTAAATGTAATATTCATTTTTTTTAAATGAATAAAATGTATTAATAATAATAATTTAATGTTCACATTTTATTAATATTAATTTAATATGAATTATTTAATATTGATTGTAATATTAAAAAGCAATTTTAGCTCTATTACAATAAAGAGAATTGAGAATCACTGAGAAATTCTGAAAAACAAACTCAAAAGTAAGGAATATTCTCTGTTAAATTCAACATGAAATAAAAATGGATGCATATTATCCCCCCTTGTCTTCATACAAAAACCGTTACCTTTTGAAACATTAAATTATAGAAGTAAAATGGGATGTGAACACTTTCTTGTTGTCTTTACACATGTTAAGCGACACAAAGGAGCCCTCAATATATTTTTAAGGGACAAAAAGTGAAAGTCTCCCCATGTTTGTTGAAAGCTGTCATGTTCTCCCCAGTGAATCCTCCTCAGCCAGAGGTGCAGACTCTCTCCACAGTGAGTGTGTCGGAGTCGAGCAGCAGGAGTGTGCGTGTGAGCTGGGCTCCACTGCTCCCTCACCTCATACAGGACTATCAGGTGGAGTATTCAGCTCTTCCTTCAGGGCCGCTCCGGGTCACCAGCGTCAGTAACAGGCAGAACTCCACCGTCCTGACGGACCTCCAACCCGACACACAGTACCTGCTCACCGTGAGCGCGAGGCAGTCCAACGGCAAAGAGAGAGCCATGTCGGTTAAAGCCTGTACACAGGAGGGTAAGGACCAACCCATCTCTTATGCACACCTTTATTAGTGTACTTTCCTTTTCCAGTGAAATGACCAGTAGCACCTCACTGCAGTCCACGAGATCCAGGGGGCGGAGTTGGATCCAGATCCAAGGCGCGGACATGGGTAGGATTAGGGGTGGGGTTAGGGATCAGGGGGCGGAGATGGGTAGGATTAGGGGTGGGGTTAGGGATCAGGGGGCGGACATGGGTAGGATTAGGGGTGGGGTTAGGGATCAGGGGGCGGACATGGGTAGGATTTGGGGTGGGGTTGGATCAGGGGGCGGAGATGGGTAGGATTAGGGGTAGGGTTAGGGATCAGGGGGCGGACATGGGTAGGATTTAGGGTGGGGTTAGGGATCAGGAAGCGGACATGGGTAGGATTTGGAGTGGGGTTAGGGATCAGGGGGTGGAGATGGGTAGGATTAGGGGTGTGGTTAGGGATCAGGGGTAGGAGATGGGTAGGATTTGGAGTGGGGTTAGGGATCAGGGGGTGGACATGGGTAGGATTAGGGGTGGGGTTAGGGATCAGGGGGCGGACATGGGTAGGATTTGGGGTGGGGTTAGGGATCAGGGGGCGGAGATGGGTAGGATTTGGGGTGGGGTTAGGGATCAGGGGGCGGAGATGGGTAGGATTTGGGGTGGGGTTAGGGATCAGGGGGTGGAGATGGGTAGGATTAGGGGTGGGGTTAGGGATCAGGGGGCGGACATGGGTAGGATTTGGGGTGGGGTTAGGGATCAGGGGGCGGACATGGGTAGGATTTGGGGTGGGGTTAGGGATCAGGGGGCGGAGATGGGTAGGATTAGGGGTAGGGTTAGGGATCAGGGGGCGGACATGGGTAGGATTTAGGGTGGGGTTAGGGATCAGGGGGCGGACATGGGTAGGATTTGGAGTGGGGTTAGGGATCAGGGGGTGGAGATGGGTAGGATTAGGGGTGGGGTTAGGGATCAGGGGGCGGAGATGGGTAGGATTTGGAGTGGGGTTAGGGATCAGGGGGCGGACATGGGTAGGATTAGGGGTGGGGTTAGGGATCAGGGGGCGGACATGGGTAGGATTTGGGGTGGACATGGGTAGGATTTGGGGTGGGGTTAGGGATCAGGGGGATCCAACTCCTCCCCCTGGATTTCATGTTCTGCAGTGAGGACCATCTCAAAATGACACTTAGGGTGTGTTCACACTTGGCATTTTGGATTCGATTAATACGAACTATGGTGAGATTGCTCTGTGCTGGGATAAATGCGCTTGCTGTGTGTGCGTAGCTACATATGATGGTATTTTGACCAGCTGAGAACTCGTGAAAAGCTTATGAAATGTGTAAAGGAGTTAAAACAGCGGCAGGAATCCCTCCGTCACACACACAAACGAAGATCCGCTGCGAGGAGACGCTGGTTCTGATGCCTGTACTGAACTGATGGGCAACATGATGAGAAAAAACAGGTGTGTGTGAGCATTCTGTCCATTTTAGGGTCGCATCTCGTGACATCACATCCTGTTTTTGGTTCGTTTGCATGTCTTTGGTCCTTGTTGCGTTCATATTTAATTTTAATGTGGACTGAGACCCATCTTTTTAGCGTTCTTGGTCCGCTTGTTTGGTGCGCATCAGGGTTCAGATGGCAGCGTTCACACTTCAAATTATTCAAATTCAAATTAACCGCACTAACAGAGCAAACGCTCCAGAGTTCATTTTAACTGAACTAAACCTGCCAAGTGTGAACACACCCTTAGTGCGGTTCATTTGAACAAGTGTAAACGCTGCCATCCGAACCCTGGTGCACCAAACAAGCGGACCAAGAACGCTGAAAAGATGGGTCTCAGTCCACTTCCAAACAAACTCTGGTGCGGTTCGACGGAAATATGAACGCAACACGGACCAAAGACATGGAAACAAACCAAAAACAGGACGTGATGTCATGAGATGCGACCCTAAAAAGGTCAGAATGCTCACACACACCTGTATTTTCATCATGTTGCCCATCAGTTCGGTACAGGCATCAGAACCAGCGTCTCCTCGCAGCGGATATTCGTTTATGTGTGTGTGTGTGTGTGTGTGACGGAGGGATTCCTGACGCTGTTTTGACTCCTTTACACATTTTATAAGCTCTTCAAAAGTTCTCAGCTCCATCATACTGTATGTTGCTACGCACATTTAGCCCGGTACACACCATTGTTTTGGATGTTCGACAAGTTCCATCGCAAAATATATATATATACTGACAGTATGAATGGTAAGCAAGGACTAAATGTATCATTTTCTTATTCGATCCGGACTAAAAAGAACCAAGAGAACCAAACTACAAGTGTGAACACACCCTTAGTTATAAGTTAATTAAGTTTATTCCTTAATTAAATTCATTAGAGCATCTGGAATAGTGTTGGAATTCCTCTTTCCTGTTATTATCCTTCCCACATCCCCTCACCTCGCTCTGATTCCCAGCAAGAAACGGGAAGCTTGACCTTTCTCCCTCTTTCTGTCAGTGTTGCCGGCTCTCTCGGATCTGCAGCTAACCACAGTGGGCAATGAGTCAGTGCAGCTCCGGTGGAAGGGGAGTTTCGACGGCCTGCGCGGTTACTGGGTCACATGGGAGCGAGGTCAGAGCCAGCGCTCCACCCTGTATTTACCACCCAACCGGCTGTCCACCACCCTCACCCACGTGCCCTCCAGAGCCCGCGTCTGCGTCTCCCCGGTGTTCCGGACGGCCCGCGGGGAGGGGCTCTGCTGCACTGCGTGAAGGCCTCCGGTGAGACGCCTGTCTGGGAAACACGGGGATTATGGGTTATTTTATGATATGAAAAAAGCCTGGCAAATGGCATAATACAGTCGGAAAAAACACATTGTTTGAAATGTAACAGTTTGTTGAACCTTTAGAGGAAATATAAAAAAATATATCTAAAAAGTTTTCATGTGCGAGTATCATATTTAAAAACATGAGGATTTTGTGGCTCATATAGTATGATATAAGATAACATAGAGCTCACACTCAGACCCAAACTGAGCAAAATATGCAATTTGGTGCAGTTGCTGCTATTTATATGGGCAAAAATTGAGAAAAAAAGCACTTTATTTTTCACAGTAGGCTATGTCTACTTACAGTTTACTTACTTAAGAAAATACTGGGTAATATAAAGGTAAATACATGGGTTATGGGTTAGGTTCAGGGTTAGTACCTAGTTATTACCCAGTTATTGTAATTACTGTAATAAGTACATGGAGAACAGGACTGTAAAATAAAGTGCTACCGAACATTCCTCTAGCTTTTAATGTAAATCAATGATATCTTTATACCAGTATAGCAGACTCTTTCATAAAGTGCACATAAATATCAGCTGTCACCTTATAATAATATGTATTAGTAAGATGATATTTACCTCTTTCCCCGCCATTGACGACATTTTTCAGTGTTTTCACTGTTATACGGTAGGGGGCGCTATTACACATCTTCTGAAAGAGTACTGAATCTCCGGATCAAAACGCTAGCGAAGAAGAAGCAGAAAAAAGCAATAAACGCTTATGCACGTAGTTTTTTTTTATAAAGAAAAAACACAACATTTTCTCAACTTTTTGTTCAAAATGTAGCTTTTTTTAAAAATAAAACTTACCCATATTCAAGTGTTGATTAAATTAAAAGAATGAATAAAGCTAGAATAAAACGCGTTTGTTTAAAATTCTGCAAAATATTATTGGGGTCATGAATTTTTTTGTGAAAATTATTAAAAATGCTGGCGGTGGGTGGCTGGCAACTTAAAAAAAAAAAAAGCTGGCGGGGAAAGAGTTAAATGCTTAGTTCTCTGTAGTTTTTATTTTGGGACAAAACATACAATGCAGTGCAATACAATGATGATTGAGAGATGAACAAATAAACCTTCCTTAAAATCCTGATGGATCATATTTGATACTCTCATTTTAACATGATTTTAAAATATTATATATTAATAACCATAAGTCCTGTAAGTCTTCACCTTGAAATATTACTCACAATATAATAGTTATTCTTATGTTTACTTTGCAATTCAATCTTTAATGATTTTTATAAAGACTTAAACTAAAAGGCCTTTTACTTGCTAAAAAGTATGAATTATCAATCAGAAAACAGAAGGCATGTAGTAGAGTGTGTGCAACAGGTTTTCAGCAAAGTTATGATTTATTGATTGACTTTATAAATCCCACACCGGGGAAAATCACTTATTACAGCAGCTCCACAAAAAAAAAAGAAAAAAGAAGTACGTTTCTGATCATGTTGATAATTTAAAGGCCTTAGAAATTTGTGTATCAAATATGATACAGTACGATTTAAAGGGTTTTTGCAAAACAGAATTGCATGACGTAATATTACATAAATACATTGGGCGGACAAACAAAGAGCGGAATGTTAAGCTCTTTACACTGCATACACTTTTTAACGCACATTTATTATAATAACAACGGCACCTTTTGATTGTTTTTAGCTGACCTGGAACCGTGGAGCACCGCTCTGCCAAACACGAGAGATGGAGGGATGAACAACACCAAAAGCTTTCCACAAATGGACAGATGGGAGGACAGGGGAGTCCAGGACTCTGTTGGAAAACTCATCACCCATAGATGGTGATCTTTAAACACAGCAACACAACATGCACTGACACACAAACCCCAAACGACACTTCTAATACAGAGACTGAATGACTCGGAGCTCAAAAGTGACTTTTAAAGGAATGTTTCGGGTTCAATACGAGTCCAGCACTATCGCTGCATATTACCGCACATGACTTTGACTCATCCCTCAGTATGTAAACAAGCAACAGTAATGCACTTATAGTAGTATTTTGTAGTATCCTCGCGCATATTGAGTGAAAGTGACAGGGTTAAGCGGCTTTATATGATCATTGAGTACATCTTTGACTATAATAGGTAAAATTAACCATTTTATCATGTGGCTATACTTTCCAAACTGTGCATTTTAACATGTATGTGCTGTGTCTTGAACCCATGATATTCCTTTAAGATGCTAGAATGTTTATGCATTAGAAAATCAAGTTTTTATTAAGAGTTATATCACCGAAGCAATATTTTGTAAATATCCTACTAATGCTTTTTGAGTTATATTTATCAGAGACAGAGTTGGTTACTGTATTTTTGTTTTTAGATTCCTCCACACAGTTTAAAAAAGGGAACAATGAGACACTATTATGGGGAATCTGAATGACCTCCATCAGTTTTTTCTTTAAGGTCAATGCAAATATTGAAACCCTGCTTAACTTACACGTCGTTACCATAGCTGCAGATTCTCTCCGCGGTGAAACACTGAAAATCTGGCATGGATCTTAATCACTGTGGCTAAAGTATTAAGACTTTGCAGATGTTGGTCGCAGATGTTTTGTGGTTCAAAAGGGCCACGATTGGTTTGTTTGAAGAATAGTGACTCTTTCAGAGGGTCAAGCTTTTCCCTGTGCATGCATAGTGTAGATTAGATTAATCATTTATTAATTATTAACAGGCAAACATAAGTTCGCAGGCCGGATCAAGGTCTTAAAATAGTGTTTACAGATACATCATTTTGTTCTGACTTTTAATGATGTGAATAATTTTCTACATCATATCATTCATCTAGACAAAAATGAAACCCATTTTCATCCCTATTTCAGGGTCATTCTGCAAGAATTTGTAGTCTATTTCAATAGCTATTCAAAAAATTCAGCATTTGATATTTTCTGTCTTTGTTTGTTGCATCATAATGGCAGGTCAAGCTTTATGTATTATGAAAAGGTGCTTGTTCATTCCCAGCTTGGCTGCACGTCTTACACATCACTGTTTTTAAAATGTTTTCAGTTATTAAATAAAAAAAGGATCGATTTCAATCCATGTTTGCTTTTGTTTCTAAACCTATGTGTAATAAAGTTATATTTTATTTCCTAAAAATAAGAAATATATCTAATATAGTTTTTTTATAGAGCACATTTCCCTTGCTCAAGGCAAATGAGACACATTTCACCTCATAGTAAATAAAAATAATATTTTATAGCATGACAATAAAGCACATATCCACCTAAATTAATGCAATGTTTTTAAAGGTTTTTTCCCCCATTAGATTCTCATTCCTGTTATGCAGTCATTTATGATGTTATAGTAAAAAAAAAAAAAAGATGTATAGATTTTTAAATTAAATTGATAATTTTACATTAAAGGAATTATAAAAGTACTTATCATAAAATGTAAAAACTCTAAATAGTGCTACATAGCATTTTCTTTAAGCAAAATATAATTTCTATTTTGAGGTGAAATGTGAGATCCTGAAATTCACCCTTGTCGTGAATAAATTTTAATACTACACAATTTAAATCCCATTTGAAAAGTTTATTTATAGGATTTCACTGCAGAATATGAAGTCACCCAACTGTCTGAAAATGAAACGCTAGATTTTAAACCATGATTATTTGAATGCTCTATTCTTTAGTAGCTTTCAAAAACTGAAAGTAGGGGCAGAACCGAAAGTTTTTTAAACAAATGAATCAAAAATACCCCGACCGGTTTAAATCGTGGTCCATCATTAATCTTATACTCTTTTCTCCTCTCGATATTTCAGATCCCTTTCCAAGTGTTCTTTGGCTGAGCTCCGATGGGTCAGCTGACATTAATGAGGGTTAATTAATCTATGTTCGGTACAAAAATTCAACCGCCAACGATCTCAAGCACAACGTATCTCAATGCCATCTTCATGCTAAAGAAACACGCGCTCAATCACACATCACAGTTCCTGTACATTTAAACTATTAAAGTTTCTGGTTCATTACACAGTGTACGGACCACCCAAAACCGAGCAACACTGATCAGGGTTCATATTTGTTCTAGATGCTCAGGGTGTTGAGCGCTGGGACAAGAGTGACGGCTTCAGGTCCGTTCTGATTCTGGTCATGTGACCCTTTGCCCTGTAAAACCTTCTGTTTATGTCTCTCCTCTTGGCGTTTCTTCTTTTCTAGACGCTGTTGCTCTTTCCTTTGTTTATTAGAGACCTAAAAAGGATAAAAATACACAAACACTTTATTATTCTCATTTGAGAATCTCAAATATGACATTTTTATCATTCAAAACAATCTGAGATACCTTGGGTTTATGTGAGATGCTGCCCTCTGTTGGCGATATGATTTCACTACATTCAGCCTGCATGCCTTGACATAGAGGGTGTGTCCCTGAAGCCGAATCTCTCTGTGATGATTGGTTGTTCTGTTCAGACTCCAGCCAATCACTGAGGCACATCTGTGACGCATCATTTGATTGACTTAGATTGTCTGATTGACCTGCGGACACAAAATAGTGGTGAGAGCATGTTGGGAGCAAAGGGAAACCGAATTAAAACAGTGAATTAAAAATGGACCGACTGTCGGCACAGATATCGCTCAAGATCAGCTCTTCATCTTCAGAGAGAGAGCGCGAGGGAGAGGCACCTCTCGACTTATCCTTCTGAGCCTCTCCAAAGCGTCTGGAATTATTCAGACTCTATCGAAAGAAAAGATGAGAAAGTCACATGATAAGAACTTAGTACATCATAACGAGGGTCACCAACATACACTTAGGCCGGAGACACACTGGCTGCGTGGCGTGAGCGTCACAGCTGCGTGGCGTGTCCGTTTTTAACAGGTTAGAGCTTGCACACTGCCTGCGTGACACGCGCGTCTCAGGCGCGGCATGAGCCGCGCGGAAAACGCGTGCATGCTAGAAATAGAACCGACGCCTATTTTTCACGCGACACGAAAGCGTGTTGGAAGCGTTTGCAGGCAAAATAGTATAGGAAAAGATGTTTATATGTCATTTTGTACACGAATACATATTAATAAATTACATTTTGATGTTTGAAAATCTAGGTTTTGACATAAATTCAGATATAAATGTCTTTTTTTTTTAATCCCATTATTTTTGCCTATATAATTTCATGTCATTTTATTTTTTAAACAGTCGAGTCCTGGTGTCCACTACAGAGGTCATAGCATATGAATAAAATATAGCCAATAAATATTTTCATTTGTTTCTAATGATCTTAACAATGTGATTACATGCAAAAAAATCAAAAAATTCTTTGAAAAAAACTTTCTGGGCCTCAGGAGGATAAAGTTAGGATAGGCTACAATAACATCGTAGTGTGTCTTCTGAGTGACGGTCCAACATCAGGTAGGGTAAATATAGGCTCTTTAAAGCTACACAAAATTTGTAAATGTTATTGAAATAAACAGACAGCCGCATGTTTCCCTATTTTTCGGATTTTGGAAGATGCGTGATAAAAGTTGAAATTGTTGTCGTAAAGGCAAGAGCAACAGTAATCCAAATGTAGACTGGTCTGTCGGCGCCCTCCCTCTATGTCACATATAGCGAATATGTATTCGTGTACGCCACGCAGCGCCGCGTCAGACACGCTTCTGGTGTGCAAAGACACAGAAAACGCGACGCAGCCGCCACGCAGCTGACACGCAACAGAAACGCCACGCTCACGCCACGCAGCCAGTGTGTCTCCGGCCTTAGGATCAAAAGTTTGTGGTGGGTACGATTTGTTTTCTCTTCAGCTCACATTTTCACTCTTTGATTAAAAAAAATACAGTAATGTTGTGAAATATTGGTTTTCTATTTTTATATAATTAAAAATGTAAGTTATTCCTGTGATCAAAGCATCATTACTCCAGTCTTCAGTGTCACGTGATCCTAATATGATGATTTGATGATCAAGAAACAATTTTTAATAATTATTATTGTTTAATAAAAGGAAATTCAGGATAATTTGATGGATAGAAAGTTCAAAGGAACAGCATTTATTTGAGGCAGAAATCTTTTGAGATAGAAATCTTACTGTCACTTTTGAGCAATTTAATATGTCCTTGCTGAAGAAAAATATTCATATCGTTTCAAAAAAACCTGATCCCACATTGAATGGTAACAACAGCAAAATTTCCATATTTGGTTCATGTACATATTTTTTTATGTTTTTAGAAGAAGTCTCTTCTGCTCACCAAGACTGAATTATTTGATTAAAAAATAAAATAATAATATTGCAATTTACAGCTTTTTTTTTCTATGTGAATATATTTTTAAAGTGTAATTTATTCCGGTGATCAAATCTGGATTTTCAGCATCATTACTCCAGTCTTCAGTGTCACATGATCCTTCAGAAATCACTCTAATATGATGATTTACTGCTCAAAAAACATTTCTCATTATTATCAATGTTGGAAACAGTTATTTTCATTTTTATTTATTTACGTTTTTAACATTGATAATAATAATGAATGTTTCTTGAGCAGCAAATCATCATGTTAGAGTGATTTCTGAAGGATCATGTGACACTGAAGACTGGAGTAATGATGCTGAAAATTCAGCTTTGATCACAGGAATAAATTACATTTTAAAATATATTAAAAAAAGAATACAGTTATTTTAAATTGTCATAATATTTCACAATATTACTGTTTTTTTGTATCTTTATTCAAATAAATACAGCCTTGGTGAGCATAAGAGACTTCTTTTAAAAACATTAAAAATCGTACCGATCAAAACCGTTTGAACAGCAGTGTGTGTGTCTGATGTTTGTTAGCAGACAGACCTCTATACGTAGATGTGCTGGACTCTCCGAGTTGTCTCCAATCTTTCGGACGCTGTCATAATGGTCTCCATAGCGATATGCGATGTGTAGCTCACGGCATGACGGCTTCTCTGTACCATTTATCTAAATGGCAAGGGAAAAAGCATTAACAACAACACACTTTAGAATTACATGAATCAAATACATGAATAATCCTTCACCTCCCACAATGGAGCGTTCAGCTGATGAATAACCACTTTCGACTGTTGGCTGCGAGCGAAGGCCACGATGGCGTCGTTCCCGGCAAACATGCCCGGCTGGGAGAGGTTTGACACTGAGAGAGAAAAAAATGACAAGGATTTCTTTAATGACATAACTGATCTTTCCAGCAGGAATTCACTGGAATAGCTGGATAACACAGCACTCACATTTAGTATATATATATCAAGTTATAACTTGATTTATTTTTTATTTTAACATTGTTTTTTTAAACATTCTTGTATCATCAATACAGTGTTACAATTTTGATATATTCCATTTCTGGAATTTTACTGTTTATTTTTGTCAGTTTTATTTGTTTTAATTAGATCTAAATTTAAAAGAATAGTCCATATCACAACTATAATGATAACGGCACAGAGGAATGATATCATTGGAATCACTTTCAGAATTTTTTTTTTTCAGCTGTAAATTTAAGATCTCTTTATGAACTTTTTGAAGCGTAAAAGTGTTGTAGTTGCAAGGCTGTCAATGGAGGGACAGAAACTGTCAGATTTCACTGATCTTCAATTTGTGTTCCAAAGATGAACGGGTTTGTTAAGTAAGAGTATTTAATGACAGAATTTTGGGGAAAAATATCCCTTAAATTATTCTTATTTCTTTTGATTATTATAATTTCCTCTATGTAAAGCACTTTGAATTACCATTGTGTATGAAATGTGCTATATAAATAAACTTGCCTTGAACGTTTTTTTTTTTCAACTAACGTAAATGTTTTTTAATAGTTTTATAGTGGCGTAAGTCAAATGTCTGTAGTACAAATAATGTGGGACAAGTTATTTTGTCAAAGTTTAAACCATAAGTATGAGCAATATTGATAGTGATGATGATAACGATTAACAGTCATTTCTGAAGTTAATTTTGAGTTGACATGCAATCTGATTATTTTAGTCCAGTTTATTTTGACCAGAAAAGGATTTAAGGCAACAGACACACACACACTTTAGAGACTTCTCTTACAATGCTGTGTGAACGGCACTTCATCTTCAACGAAGGGCTCGAAGTCCTGCCTGTGCGTCGTCATGTACTGCACTGTCTCCTGTCGCAGATGCAGGTGACCCCGCGAATGTCCCTCCAGCTGATCTCCGAGAGCTCGGAACAAACAGTTACTGCGGGACAACATGAGAAACAGAAGCCTGACTCCTTAAAGAACCGTATCTGGTCATCACAATCGTCCTGTGACAAAAGCCCACACATACCCGTCTCCAGGCACCTCTCGGAGTTTGAGACCCAGAGCCTGAAGCTGGTTGGAGAAGCTGACAAACTCCTCTCCATCTTCCCCTCCTGGAGGTTTGTTCTTTTTGTCTTTGGCCAGAGCCCGACGGGCCGCCCGCTCGTCTCTCTTCCTCTCTAATTCATACTTCCTGTTTCCCTTTATGGGCTTTCCTGACTGTTTCCTTGACATGATGATGCGCCGTATTACACTCAGTGATGACGCAGCCGTTTATCTATCACATACGCCTAAAAGACATCATAAAATTCACAACAACACAAAAATCAGTTATGACAAGAGGAAGTGCTTAAAATGAACACTCAATATGACACAATCAAAATAAACACAGCACAAATTACTTTTTCCACAAATAACATCATTTGATAATAATTAATAATACATTAATATAGGATTACATTCAAACGCTTTAAATGTGTGGTGGCTAAAACCAAAATAACTTAAAAATAGTGCTGTCCAATCACACAGTAACAATAGTAATTTGCTTATTTGATTAATTATTATGTTTTTAAATTAATAAAATGTTCCTATTTCCCAGGTATGATCTGAGACCATATTGAAGATAGATAGATAGATAGATAGATAGATAGATAGATAGATAGATAGATAGATAGATAGATAGATAGATAGATAGATAGATAGTAGATAGATAGATAGATATTGAAACTGTATATATTTTTTTCTCATGGTAATGTCATTAACAGTGGATATGTGTAGTGTTGTGCTTATGGATTTACTCACCTAAACACACCGAAGCCAATGAATCATGTTTGCAGATGTGAAATGTTTGTTTGCTGTCTGTCTTTATGAAGTACTTAAAATTGAGTAATGAATCCAACAAGAAGAAGTTCAGAGTCATGTACTGCAAATATCAGACAGAGATAAGAGAACAGCAGCGTGATGTGTCAGAAATGTCGCGTAATAAACAGTTTCTCTCAGATTTGGCAGTGATTAAACGACAGAATGAGAATGGTTGTTGAAGAGAAAAGACAATTAAACTTTGTCATACAACTCTACTCACGTTATTTCCTTGACAATAAGAAACACGATCACGGCACAACAATTTGTCCGGTAAATCTAACTCTTGAGTCTGACGTCTGACTCTGAGCTGTCCAGGGTTTGTTTACTTCCTAAAGAAGACCGGGCCTCACTTCCGGTTCCGGCTTTGCTTTCAAAATAAAGGCACGGCCGAGGCAAGTCATTAAAAAATACATGTTTTAATTTAGATTATTTCTCTTAAAAAATGACAAGAATTGTAATAAATGTGGCTGTTATTATAGTTGGTGGTGTTGTTTGAGTATATTATTTGTGTGAGAAAAAAAAAAAAAAAGTTTTCTCACACAAATAATGTTTTAGATTATGAATTCTGAATCTATCCATAATATTAATAATAACAATATAGGGATGCACGGCTAGCGATACCGGTATCGGGCCTGATACTGTGCTCTTGTAGGCCTAAAAATGCTCCAATACCAACAACCGATAGCACGCAGTGTGTGTACAGTGTTTGTGTCCAGACAAAGAAACACCGACAACAGAGAGTATAATGGGGATAAAAAAGAAAGCTGTCTATGAAGTAAATGTATCTTATTAGTGGAATATTAAACTACATATAGTAACGTCTTTACAGTGGTGCGCGAGCTGAGAAGAGCTGATAAGTTGAATGCTCTTGATTGCTGATCATTCACTCATTCAGCAGATGTGGATTAAAACTAAATTGTATGTGTAGTAAAACCTGATTTATGTATAACGAGTGGTTCGTTTGCAGGTAAAGAAGTTTTGTTACATTTTAGTTGGCTTAATGAAAATAACTGAAGGAAATAGTTGCTGAACAAATTAAGCCAACATGATTCATATTCTTTTGGTTTCTCTTCTCTACCCAATAATACATTTAAAAATGCCAAATGCAGTGAAAATACAGGTATCGGTACTCGGTATCGGCAATGAAAGTATCAGTATTGGACTCGTTCTGGAAAAATTGATATCAGTGCATAATCCATAAAAATATTAATACGTTTTAATCTTTTTTAGTGTAAACTATTTGTTGCATATTTTAATTACCATCACTTGACATTTTTTCATTTTTTTTGCTTGAAATAAACCATTTTTAGAGCGAACAGAGAATATTAATTTATCCGATTTTCCTTCTTATGCATATGCAAGCATGTTTATGTAATAATAAATGAATTAATTCCACAAAAAAAGCACAACTGAGAAAAGACTCTTATTATGACATTAACAACAAAACAGTTAAGTTGAAACGTTATTTGATGCAGAATCAAAGTATCATCTTACAGCACAACAGAGTGATGCAGAGATTGAGCAAATGTGAATTTATTTTATGGCAGTAAAAGTTAGCACACTCTACACATGACTTTTATACATCCTTTATAAATAGTTATCTACTAATAAAAAAATCATTACACCATCTAAACAGACATACGTAACAGTCGTAAACTATCAAGTCGTTTCCCTCTCCGTGCTGCTCTGCAGCTCTCAGTCCTATAACTGGGTCCATACGGTTCCTCATGACGGGTCAGTGCACAAGCAGAACTTCATTTTGGCTCAGTTTTTGTCATGTAGGCATAAACAGCAGCAAGGCACGAGCATTAGGCCTATGAAGCGTGAGCTCTGAAACTCATCCGCCTCTGTCTGGTCATGGGCATTTCCTTAGCCTTGGCCTCCATCGCAGCATCCATTTCATCATCCATTTCATCAGTGATGATGGTTTGTGGCTCCTGGACATGCTCTTTTTCTGTTATGATCTCCTGAACCTTTAGCATCCCAAAATCGGGCTCCTCGTGGTCAGGGAAGAGGGAAGCGGCGACCTGCACCACACCGCTCACCATTCCCAGGACAGCGAACGTGCCGCCCACTAGGTAGACCTTCAGGCAGCCCTTGGAGGGACCGGAGCTCAGCATCTCCTTAGCAAAAGGGATGATCTCATGAATGTCCATTTTCAGTTGTGTTCTTCTGTGAAAGAAAACAAGAGCGTCAAAGGTCATGAAATGAAAATATATCAAAATCAACTGAATTGCATTAATAAGTAGCCTACTGCTGGTATAAAGGCTTATCTTAAAATCAACATTAAATGCTGTTCGTAAAACAGTTTATTTTCATATCTCATGAAATAAACTCAAAAAAGTGATCATTTGACTTAACTTAAAAAAAGCGAGGAAACCTGTTGCCTTAAAATGATTAAGTAAGTAAATAAATGTCGGAAAAAAAAAGGTTTGTGAAATTCACATAACTTAATTTTTTCAACTTCATGAATCTTATTTACTTAATAATTTTAAGGCAACAGGTTTCATCACTTTTTTTTTAAGTTAAGTCAACTGATCACCTTTTACAGTATATGGTGCCCAAGAATATGCATTAAAGGGATAGATCACCCCAAAAATGTAAATTCTGTCATCATTTACTCACCCTCAAGTTGTTCTAAACCTGTATGGATATCCTGTTGAACACAAAAGAAGATATTTTGAGGAATGTCGGAATGGACCCCATTGACTTCCATTGTATTTTTTTTTCTCCATACTATGGAAGTCAATGCGGTTGAATAAAGGATATTCTTCAAATTATCTTCTTTTGTGTTAAGCAGAAGAAAGAAATTAATACAGGTTTGAAACAACTTGAGGGTGAGTAAATGATGACAGAATTTTATTTTTTGGGTGAACTATCCCTTTAAGAAAATAAACCTCAGGGAAGCAAAGCTTATTTTTAAGGCCTGAAAGCAACATTTGGTAACACTTTACAATAAGGTTCCATTAGTTAAGGTGAGTCGATGCCTGAACTATTATTAACTAACAATGAGCAATACATTCCTTACAGTACTTATTAATCTTTGTCAACATTAATTAACAAAAATACAACTTGATTCATGTTAGTTCAGGTTCAATAATGTTAAGATACAATGTTTGATTTTTAACATTAACTAATAAATGCTTTAGAAATTGTAAGTGATGTAGTTAACTAATGTCAACAAATGAAACCTTATTGTAAAGTGTTACCCAACATTTTAAGTATTGCATATTGAATATGAATTTACAGAAAAATATGTACATTTCATGAACTGGGCTATACCAAATCAATAAAATCTTCTTTAAAAATTTTTTTACTTTGATTATATAAGCTACTGCCAACCACCTTAAAACAAATTATAAAGACTTGGCAACATTATTAATAAAAAATAAAAAAATCTAATTAAAGAAAGGTGCACGGTGTCAGATACAAAACCCCATCATGTAACACAGATGCAGGGCCGGTTCTAGATATTTGGAGGCCCTAGGCAATATTCATGTTAGAGGCCCCCCACCCCCAATAAAAAACTCTTGAAACAAATATGATTCCTAACCTTTTAATTTATACAACATTTAATTTTAAATGTTTTTACTTACACAGTACATAAGTTTGGACACATTACTATGTTTAATGTTTTTGAAAGAAGTCTCTTATGCTAATCAAGCCTGGATTTATTTGATCGAAAATACAGATAAATAATAGTGAAATATTATTAAATAGTTTTGCTATTTTACTACTTTAAAATATATTTATGTGATGCAAAGCTGAATTTAGTGTAATGTGATCCTTCAGAAAACTTTATAATATTCTGATTTATTATCAAATGTTAGAAATGGTGCTTAATATTTATTTTATAACCTGTGATACTTTTTTCAGGATTTTTTTTTTATTATTATTAAAAAGTTGTTTTAAAAAAGTCTTCACTATCACTTTTTATATATTTAACACATCCTTGCTGAATATTCCTGTTTTTCTTTTTCTTTTTTGTATTTTTGATCAAATAAATGCAGGCTTGTAGAGCATAATAAAAAACTTCTTTCAACAACATTAAAAATAGTAATTGGTCCAGACTTTTTACCAGTAGGCTACTGTATGTACATATTAATCAAACTTCATCTAAGGTAATCTCTTTTTTGTTTAATGAAGATGTTATTGTTATTGTTATTTTGCTGTTTTATTCAATTTATTCACAGTTCCAGAATACCACTTCAGTGATATATGCTTTTATCATTTTTTTCATAGCTGGTATGGGCAGGATTTTCCCCTCCCATTTAATAGATATTGACTGCAGAATGCAGATATTGTCATATTATTAATATAAGTAGGCCTAATATGATATTATGCATTGCTAGCTTAAATATGCTATACACAAATGAAGTGGAAGAGAAAGACACGATCGCTACTGATTAGAAAAAAAATTCTAAACTGATATTATTGGCG